ATATTGTAATAATGTCTATACTATATATATAATATAACTCACAACGCCCTAAATGATCCTATTATAATCTATAATCTCTATTCCATCTAATATATATAATTAACTAATAATTATTATTATACCCATGCTATATATAGTCTTGATCATTATATAATAATATATACATATCTAAATCTATAATTAAGTTAAGTCTCAGGTCATAATATAACTATCACTCTATATATCTACTACATACCACACACCACACCAACACAACAACACACACACACACACACACACCACTCCCACACTACAGACGACACACACACACACACACACACACACACACATATAATATATAATAATATATATATATATATATATATATATAGTATGTGTGTGTGTGTGTGTGTGTGTGTGTGTGTGTGTGTGTGTGTGTGTGTGTGTGTGTGTGTGTGTGTGAGTGAGTATGTATGTATCTATATCTCTATATATGTATATATATATATATATATATATACACATACATATATATATATATATATATATATATATATATAATATATATATATATATATACATATACATATGTGTGTGTATATGTGTATGTGTGCAAACACACACACACAACAAACACACACACATATAATATATATATATATATATATATATATATATATATATATATATATATATAATATATTATATATATATATATATATATATATACATTTTATATACGAACACATATGTATATATACATATATCATACATACATACATACATATATATATAATATATATGTATGTATGTATGTATGTATGTATGTATCTATACATGGGAGAGAGACAGGCAGAAAGATAGAGAGAAAGTTGAATGAAACAGACAGTCAGTCAAAGAAACGGATAGACGGACAGAAGAATAGACAAACAGAAAGCGAGAGAGCGAGAGCGAGAGAGAGAGAGAGAGAGAGAGAGAGAGAGAGAGAGAGAGAGAGAGAGAGAGAGAGAGAGAGAGAGAGAGGAGAGAGAGAGAGAGAGAGAGAGAGAGAAAGTGAGAGAAGAGAGAGAGAGAGAGGAAAGGAGAAGAAGAAGAAGAAGAGAGAAAGGAAAGAGAGAAGAAAAGAAAGAGAAAGAGAAGAGAGAGAGAGAGAGCGAGTGAGTTATCCTAAACGAAAACTTTGCACCAATGCATAAACTTCACCTCAAGTTTGACCATAATACGGATCTTTGCTCTTCTTCTTTACACTCTTACGCTCCCTTTTCTCACCCTACGCTTCCGTTCACCCTTTCTTAAGAATAAAAGCCCCCATTCCCCCCCCCCCAAAGAATACCCCCCCCCCCCCCACCTACCCCTCACTCCCACCGGTAAGAGTGAAACGTGGAACAAAAAGTGAAAAATTCTGAAACTTAGCGACTGCCAAGAATGTGTTCCCTATGCGTTTAGCTCACCTCTAGAGGCAGAGTTGCCATTGCTCAATTTGCTGTTCGGGGAGAGTCTGTTTTGACCGAGGCGATTGTCTTGAAGGGTTTATCGATTCAGTTAGATTGTAAAGACGTAATAGATGGGGGTGTACGTGATAGATGCATGGCGTAGGATTTGTCAGAGAAAGTTATAACTTGGTGTTTGTGGTCTTCGGCGAGGATTAATTCCAGCGTTGGCAACTCTGATTCTATTCGGCCCCTCCTGACACCGCCGCCCCCCCCTGACCCCCCCACCCTCACCCTCCTCTTCACGACTCACCCCATCATTTCTTACCATCTCCTCCTCCTCTTCCTTCTCCTCCTCCCCTAACCTCCTCGTCCTCCCCTCCCTCCTCCTCCTACTCTCTCTTCTCCTCCTCCTCCCCTCCTCCTCCTCCTCTTTCCTACTCCTCCTCCTAATCTCCTCTCCCCTCCTCCTACTCCTATCTCCTCCTTCACTCGTCTCTCTCTCCTCTTCTCCTCCTCGTACTTTACTCCCTCCCTCCTCCTCCTCCTCTCCTAATCCTCTACTTCTCCACCCTGCTACTCTCCTCCACCTCCTCCTCCATCCCTCCCTTTCACTCCCTCCTCCTCCTGCCTTTTTCTCTCTCTCCGTATCACTCTCCTCCCCCTCCTTCTCCTCTTATCTATCTCTCCCCTTTCTCTCCTCCTTACCATCCCCCACCTCCGTTTTTACTTCGTCTTTCATTCTCGCTTTCTCCCTCATTCTACCTGCAGGTTGTAGTGAATCGGATAGACATTTATACAGTTTTCTTTACTTCATTCTTTAAGAATAGATGAATCAGTTAATAACAGATAATAATGATAATAAAAAGAAACATATGTCATTAATTGTTCCATTTATTCCGGATCCATTTAACAAAGAGACATATATCACACAATATCACTGCAATATATAGCGTCACTACACACAAACAGTTGTACCGACAGTGAAGGTAACAACAGCAGTGACAACAACAACACAGTGACCAAATCAACATCCAATAGCAGTTAACAGTGAAAATAACAATAGAAGCAGAGTGACAACAGCAACAACTCCCACAACAGCAGAAGGGACAACTGGGACAACAACAGCGCCAACAACTGTAGCCACAACAGCAACAGGGACACCAACTGCCGCACCACCATTGCCAACAACAGCAACAGCAACAGCACAACAACCGGAGCCACAACAGCAAACACCAACTGCGCACCACCACCGCCAACAACAGCAACAGCAACAACAACAACAACTGTAGCCACACACAACAGGGACACCAACTCCACACCACCATTGCAACAACAGCAACAACAGCACCCGGACAGGGACCAACTGCCGCCACCATTGCCAACAAAGCAACAACAACCGTTGGCAACGCACAACAGGCAACAACAACAACAGTCGCAGCGATGAGTTCATGCAGCAATACATACTAGAGCGCTGCCCCCTGACCCCGCTATAGTGCCCCCCGGCCTGGCGCCCCGTTATAAGGAATCTCTTTAGCATAAACTTAGCATATACACACTTGTGAGATCCCGTATGTGCCTTATAGGGGTGCGTGTTCGATCGGTGCCGAATGCTTGTGTGTAGGGGGGTAGGGAGGGGGGAAGGGAGGGAAGGGGAGGAGGGGAAAGGGAGAGGGGTTCAAGCTTAATTAAATACATTTAATTACATATTTATTCGATGCAGAATTAGCCCTAAGATATATATTTTTTCTGTATTGATCTTCGCACATTTTTTATCCTTATTTTCCCTTTTTTTATAGATATATTTTTTTACGGAGTAAGGAAAAAAAAAATAGTTTAGATCAATGTCCCAATACGTGTGTGCATCTCATATGTGTACATCTGTATGTGCACATGAATAAGTACACATATAGAGGTGAGAAGTGGCTCCTCCTCAGACGAGCCAGTGTCCCAGACGCCGACGCAAGGACACTGAACATCTTCGTCTAATCTCTAAGACGTTGGCGAAGACGTTGGTGAAAGAATACCTCTTGTCTCCTTCTTACATACTCTTCCTTTTTCATTTCTCTTTAGGCTTTTCAGAGGAGGAGGAGGGGGAGGAAGAGGAGGAGGGGGAGGGGGAGGAGGAAGAGGAAGAGTGGGGAGGAGAGAGAGGAAGAGGAGGAGGAGGAGGTGGAGGTGGAGGAGAAGGAGGAGGAGGAAAGAGGAGAGAAGGAGGAAGGAGGAGGAGAGGAAAGGAGGAGGAGAAGAAGGAGGAAGAGGAGAGGAGGAGGTGGAGGAGGGGGATGGCGAGGAAGAGGAGGAGAAGAGAAGAGAAGAAGAAGAAGAAGAAGAAGAAGAAGAAGAAGATAGAAGAGAAGAAGAAAAGAAGAAGAAGAAGAAGAAGAAGAGGAAGAGAAGATGAGGATGATGAGGAGGAAGATAAGAGGAAAGGAGTATTTGGTGTTTTAGGAGAGGGTTGAGGGTGGGAGAAGGGGTAGGGGGTGGGTGGGAAGGGAGGGGGGGGGAGGGTAAGGGTCCGTGGTGATCAGTGTCTTCGTTAACGAGGTTGCGCGGGTGTGTGTATATGTATGTGTGTGGGTTTGTTTGTAGGGTGTGTGTGTGTATTTGTGTATTTTGTTTTGTGCGTGTGTGTTTGTGTGTGTGTGTGTATGTGTGTATGTTTGTGTGTTTGTGCGTGTATGTGTGTGTGTGTGTGTGCGGGTGAGGAAGTGTGGAGGGAGGAGAAGGAGGAGGAGAGGAGAAGGAGGAGGAGGAGGAGGAGGTGGCGGCAGCGGCGGCGGCGGCGGAGGAGGAGGAGGAGGAGGAGGTGGTGGTGGTGGTGGAGGAGGTAGTGGAGGAGGTGATGGAGGAGGGGTGGAGAGGTGGTGGTGGTGGTGGTGGTGGTGGTGGGAGGAAGGAGGAGGAGGAGGAGGAAGGAGGAGGAGGAGGAGGAGGAGGAGGAGGAGGAGAGAGGAGGGAGGTGGTGGTGGTGGCGGTGGGGTGGCGGTGGTGGCGGCGGCGGAGGAGGAGGAGGTGGTGGTGGTGGAGGAGGAGGAGAGGAGGAAGGGAGGAGGAGGAGGAGAGGAGGAGGAGGAGGAGGAAGAGGAGGAGGAGGAGGAGGGAGGGAGGAAGAGGAGGAAGGAGGAGAGGAGGGGTAGTGGTGGTGGTGGTGGAGAGGAGGAGGAGGGAGGGAGGAGGAAAGAGGAGAATGATAAATGAAAATTATAATACCCAATAGTAATGACAATAATAATAAAATAATGATAATAATAATGATAATGACAATAGTAATAATAAGGAGGAGAGGGAGGAGGAGGGGGTAAAACAGACGGAGTTATAGGGGATAGAGGATGAAGATGAGGATGAGGAAGAAGACGAGATAGAAGACAAGTAATAGAGGAACAGAAGAGAAAAAAAAGAGAAAAAAAGGGAAGAGAAACAGAAAGTAGGAGAATGAGGATAGGATAAGAGGAGGTGGATAGGAAGGAGGAGGAAAGGAGATAAAGAGAAGGAATAACAGAAGAAGAGAGAGAAAAAAGACTAAAAGTAGGAGTAGGAGCGAAAGGATAAGGACAGAGGAATAGAAAGGCGAATGAAGATGATAAATAAAAAAACACGAAAGAAAGAAAGGAAATAAGAAAATGGGAAAGAAAGAAAGAAAGAAAGAAAGAAAAAAAGAAGGATAATGTTTTAGAAACCGGCAGTTGTAGGCAATGATACTGTATCTAAATAAAATTCATATATTTATCTAATTTCTTTTTTACCTGAACTGTATTTAACATCATTAAAAGTCTGGAAAAAAAACGTACATTTAAATAAAGATCAAAGTCGCAAAGCCAACGTAATATTTGATTTTTTTAAGCGAAAAAAATATATGCATAGCCGCGGTTAAAAGGGTTATCAAATAAATAAATAAAGAAACAGGTAAAAAAAAAAAAAAAAAAGAAAAACACTTTAATGTAATTTTTTCACCACAAGCACAGTGCTTTCAAATTCCTGAAATTCATAAACAGCTACGTTTTTTTTTTTTTTTTTCACGTTATTACCAAATTTTTGCTTCTCTTTATCTATATCAAAATCTATTGACCATTTCCTTTTATTCTCTTTTATAACGCAAGCGACATAACGAATTGTTAAAAAAATTACATTTCATGAGTTTGTTATCAATCTTATTATCATTAACTCATCAGTTTATTATCAATAAGTTCATTAGTATTATAGGAAATAATTACCTAAGTTAGGATGATTAACTTAGGTAAAAGACATAAGAAACTAGGAACTTCTTAAGGTTTATTTCGATGGAAGATAAGGAGAGAGAGAAAGGAGAGAAAAATGGGTGGGGTTATCACGCTTCTCTTTGTTCTCCTCCTTCTTCTTCTTCTCTTCTTTCTTTCTGAGCTTTTTCTCTCCTCATCTCCTTATTCGTCTTTATTTCTCCTTCTCTTTCTTTTCTTGTCTTCTCCTTCCTCCTTCTTCTTCTTCTCTTCTTTTCTCTCTTTCTTCTTTTTGCTCTTTCTATTCTTCTTTTCTCCTTCCTTCTCTTCTTTCTTTTTCCTCCTGCCCTTCTTCTTTTTCTCCTCCATCTCCTTATCCTCTTTCTTTCCTATTTATATTATCTTCTTTCGTCTTTTTTTCTTCTTCTCCTTCTTCTTGTCATTCTCTTTCTCGTTGCCTGTTTCTTTTCCTCTCATATTTTCATATTCTCTCTATTCATGTTTTTCTCTCCTTTTCTTTTCTTCTACTTCGTCTTCTTTTCATTTTTTATCATCATTATCAGTCATTATCATTCTCGTATTAGTATTACCATTACTTTTCTGTTATCCATTATTATTTCAGTCATTATCATTATCATTACTATTATTGCCATCATTATTGTTATTATTGATTTTATCATTTTTTATTATTATTATTTATTATCATTATTATTTTTTATATTATTATTATTATTATTATTATTATTATTATATTATTATTAATTATTATTATTATCATTATTATCATTATTATTATTATTATTTATTATTATCATTATTATTATTATTATTATTATTATTATTATTATTATTATTATTATTATTATTATCATTATTATTATTTATTATTTATTATTATTATTATTATTATTTTATTATATATTATTATTATTATTATTATTATCATTATCATTATTATCATCATCATCATCATCATTATTATGATTATATTTTTTGTTGTTTTGTTCATTATCATTATTATTATTATTGTTATCATGATTATTGTTATCATTGTTATCATTATTGATATTATCATAATCTTTATCGTTATTATTATTATAATTATCCTCATCATCAACTAACATCAGCACTAACATTACGATAAATACAACAATCATTATTATTATCATCATTATTATCATGATTATTGTTAATATTGCTATCATTATTAATGTTATTATAATTTATATCGTTATTATCATTATCATAATTAATCATCATCATCACTAATATCCACACTAACATTACTATAAATGCAATTATCAATCTCATTAAAGATGTTATTTTTTTGCTTTTATATTGGTCTTCCTCTCCCTCCCCCCCCACCCCCATTCCCTCCTCCTCCTGTTCTTCATCTTTTTCTTATCCTTTTCTTCTTCTTTCTCCTCCTCTTCTTTCTCGTCCTCTTCCTCCTTTTCATTTTTTTTCTTCTTCTTTTTTACAATCTCTTTATTTCATCTATTGTTATCATTCAAAGAAAATGAAAATTGAGAAAAAATTAAAAATTGACGAATCAAAGAAAAAAAGCAAGATTGAAGATAGAAAGATCAACCATCAAAAGAAGAACGAAAAAGGAGATAGAGAGAATTAGAATTATTTTGTTTTTTTTTTCTACTCAACTTCACTTCGAGTCTTAAGGAATTATTAAAGAAATATCAACAGAACTTCATTTTGATCTGTCGTCACAGTAAAAAATAAATAGACAGATAGAAAGATAGGTGCAGATAGATAGATAGATAGATAGATAGATAGATAGATAGATAGATATAGAGATAGAAGATAGAGATAGGTGGATAGATAGATAGGTAGATAGATAAATAGATTGGTAACATAGATAGATAGATAGATAGGATAGGTAGATAGATGGATAGATAGATAGGTAATAGATAGATAGATAGGTACAATAGATAGATAGATAGATAGATTAGATAGATAGATAGATAGATAGATAGATAGATAGATAGATAGGATAGATAGACAGATAGATAGATAGATAAATAGATAGATAGATAGATAGCATAGATAGATAGATAGATAGATAGATAGATAGATGTGATAATAGATCAGATCGATAGATAGGATATATAGATAGAATAGATAGATAGATTAGATAGATAGATGGATAGTGGATAGATAGATAGAATTAGATAGATAGATAGATAGATAGATAGATGATGGATGATAGATGGATAGATAGATAGATAGATATATA